ATAAAAAACACAACTGCATTAATCCAGCACAGTAACGTGGAGTGTCATCTATTCACGGAGACTAACCATGCTGCTACCTACAGTCAAACCAAGTTTGCTTGCTTGTTTCCTACTTGGTTCATTCCTCCAGTGCCATGGACTCATTCAGGATGCCTGCCCCACCACAGCCTCTGAAAAGCCAACCCCAGGAACAAGCCCGGCCCCTGGACCGCAGGCAGCTGGTGGCCATGACTGGCATTTCTGGGCCAGCGTGCCACATTCCCTCTGCTCTCAGAACACAGAGCCACTGGAGAGCTCAGGGTCCAGGAGGCCAAGGCTGCCAAGGAGAGAGAGAGGATGGGCAGCGGGGGCTGAGGCAGGAACCCCTGCAGTCAGAGGTGGGGACCCTGGGCAGACGGTTCCACTTCTTGCAAGGCCCAACTCAACTCCCCCCTCCCCAGGCAGTCTCTCCTCCTCAGTGTGAGCTCCACAGGGTGGGGCCTGGGTCTGCTGGGTCCCCACTGTGACTCTTCTCTACCACCCTCCAGGAGACAGGCGCTTCTCCAACCCTCATCACCTCAGCCTCCTCTGACCCCTGCTGGACAAAGAGAAAACCACCCACCTTCATCTGGCCATCCCCTAGTTCACAGCCACAGGCATCCTGAGAACAAAACCATCCAGAGGGCGTCCCCTCCACCTCTGCCCCTGCTGGACCCAGGCCCCGCACACCTGGGTGCGGGAAGTAGACAGTCCAGACTGTGACCACTCCTCCCTCCTTTCACTATCTCGCTCTTTACTATTTAACAGCACTACTGAATGCCTGATTGCTGAAGACAGTAGTAATTTAAGTCATACGAATTGCTATTCTGGTTAAAAAAAAAAAAAAAAGAAGAAGAAGAAGAAGCTGCTTTAGTGATTACTTGGCTTTTAATAGATCAGTGTTGCCCTCACAGGAGCAGACCAGAGGAAGTGCCTGTTCCTAGGAGGCTCTGAGCTAAGGCAGGAGGGAGCTCAGGGTAGCAGTGCAAAGTCAAGGTCGAGGCTGGAGCTTCAGCCCTGCCTCAGGCATTTGTAAAGCTTCACGTGGGGTTATTACTTCATCCTTCAAGCCCCAATTTCCTCATCTGTAAAATGGGGCTGATAATAACAGTGCCAACCACAGAGGGTTGTCAGAGGAGTCTGTCAGGTGGTCAAAAACAGCACCCTGGGCGGGGGCGGGGGCTCAGCAGTAGTTCACTTGCCTGGCATGTGAGGCACTGGGTTCGATTCTCAGCACCACATATAAATAAATAAAATAAAGGTCCATCAACAACTAAAACAAAATTGGAAAAAAAAAAAAAAAAAACCCACACCGTGGGACCAGCCCAAGTTCAAGCCCCTCTACCACCTACTAGGTAATCACCTTGGACAAGCGACTTTCTCTGTGCCTCCATTTCCTCATGCTGAGATGGGGATAACAGCAGTGGCCTGGCGGTTGCTGCAGAGGTAAGAGGAGGTACCTCCTATGAAGTATTCAGTGTAGCACTGGGGCTATAGGAGCCGCGAACCCTGGTCACCGTCACTCAGTCCACTGACCCTGAGGCAACTTTCCTCCGTTTTACCGGCTCTGAGTTCAGGGTGCCCCACTTTGCTGGCATCTTCATCAGCTCAGTGCACTGAGCACAGTCCTGGGCCCACAGGACACTGGACCTCAGGGTAAAGCTGGCCATGTTTGACGGCCCCAGTTCCCACTCGGCATCTGCTGCTAAGTGGTGACTCTCAGGACTGAGAGCCACTCCTAAGAATGTACCCATCAAGAGAACAAGACCTCTGCACAAGACCCGTGGAGGACAGAGCCCTAACCTGGTAAGTGCCAGCCAGGACACGGCCTGCCTCCTGCCCACAACCACCCCTCTGCCTTCTTACTTCCTGTGCTCCCCAGACACCCCCGAGCCATGGGCTTTTCACTGGCTTCAAAGTTACTAATTCTGGAGGCCACACAGAGAGCTGTTATTCATCTCCACTAGCTCTGCTGTCCTCTGACACGTGGATCACTATGACAACAGGTGCTAGGGTTATGCTTCGGGGACATGAGACCATTTTGTCTAAGCCACTGACCTTTTTGCTTGGCCTAGCACGGGTGTCCCAAAGGTGACCTTTGACATCAGGAAGCAAAAGATTCCACCTTCAGATCATGCTAACACCACCATTTTCTGCAGGTGTCCCATGAAGAGCCACGGAGGTTGGTTGAGTGTGCTCGGACTGCTGACTATTGCCTGCTATCGGCTCCCACACCCTAGGCCATGATGCTTCTTCATCCCCCGGTGTCCACAAATGTCCTCAGGAGGTGTACTTAGGGCTTGGACCTCCCCACTCCTCATGCTTGGCTGTCTTAGGAATGACTCTTGCAAACTCCTTGTTCTAGTGACTGACCTAGTGCACAGCTGGAAACCAGAGGGGCCTGGCTCAGTAACAACATAAGGAATGGACGTCTGTGGATCTGTACAGCCATCGGCTGCAGTCCCTGCAGGCAGACACTGGGAAAGAAAGCTTCGATTTCTGCAATTATACAATCCCTCACCTACTGGAAATCAAAGATATTTATTCTGAGCAAAGCTTTCTCAGATATCTAAACATAGAGCAATGTGCTGAAAATTCTCCTTCTCACAACCCCCTTTTTTTTTTGGTGTCAGGGATTGAACCCAGGGGCATTTAACCACTGAGCCATATCCCCAGCTCTTTTTTGTATTTTACTTAGAGACAGGGTCTCACTGAGATGCTTAGGGCCTCACTAAGTTGCTGAGGCTGGCTTTGAATTCCTGATCCTCCTGCCTCAGGCTTCTAAGCCGCTGGAATTACTGGGGGGCGAGCCCCACTGTTCCGGGCTCCCCTTGAGTTTTAAGATACCACACTCTAGGAAGCACCACAGGAATTCTAAATCAGGATGCATTACCTTACACCAAGGGATTATACAGGTTCTTTAAAAAGCAAAATTTGGGGCTGGGTGTGCAGCTCAGTGGCAAAGTGCTTGCCTAGCATGCGTGAGGCCCTGTGTTTGATACCCAGTACTACAAAAAGAAAAAAGCCATGTTGACTTACTGGTGTTGAAAAAAAAAGAATATTATAAAAAGTAATAATAAAACAATAAAACATAGGGGTTGTTTCACTGGGTTGTAACTGACAATCAAGACCTATACGCAGAGGGTCAGCGTAAAGAACCAGGACAGCCCCCCTTATCCAGACCATGTGGAATGAGATGCTGGTTAGTAAAATCCCCAGGTACACGAGGCTCACTCCTCAGAGAGAAAGCCCCCTGCAGCCTCCTGACACAGCTCCTCCTGCCTGGCCTGCTCACATCTGCTGCCCCGCTGGGCTTCCTGCCCGTTGCTGGACCATCTCCGGCCACTTTCTCCCACTGTGGGTGTGTCCAGGCCCAGAGGCTTGTTCTCTCCAACAGCTCAAATTTGAGTGGTTTTGACCAAAAAAACAGATGACTACATTTGTTAGAGTTGTACTTAAACAAGAATAAACAAATTACTAAGCGAATGAATACATGAGGTTTGTAATGTATAAGAAATACCATACAGGGCTGGGGGTACAGCTCAGCTGCTAGAGTGCCTGCCTCGCAAGCACAAGGCCTTGGGTTCAATCCCCAGCACCACAAAAAAACAAAACAAGACAAGAAATACCATATAATCCCAGATATGAGGCAATCTCCTCTTTTCCCAAAAAGATCCACAGTTTTTTGACCAATTTATATACATAAACTTTTAAGGATGTAGAAAAACTTGCTTACACATACTACTATTTTCTTAGTAATTTATGATCACATAAATATTTAAAATCACATAATAAAATACAAGCAATCCCTGTCTGTGTGGGTTCCCTATCTGTAGATTCAACCATCAATGGTTGTGCTCAACAGGTACAGACTCTCCCCCTTGTTGCTGTCTCCTAATAACAACAATCATTTCCACAGCATCCACACTGTATCTGGTCCTGTAAGTCACCAGGAGGTGGCGTGAAACCCACAGGAGCAAGAGCTGGGTTATGTGCAAACGCAACACCAGGCATCCTCAAATTCTGGCATCCCCAGAGTGTCCTCAGGGGTGAGGACACCAGGGCGCCTTATATTAATGTTGACACAATACTGTCTTCATCCTGTCACTTCACAAAGACAACTGTATTTGGACTCTTCAGCACCAGTGTCTGCCTCTCCATCTGAAGGGACCGTGGCACACTGCTTTCAGTCTAACTTGTTTGAGATAATACAGCTTTTAAATCACCTATGATGTTTCCACTTAAATTCTATTCCCAATCATCTGAACTCACAGGACATTAGGGCAGCTAATTTTCTTCGTGTGACCTTGGGTAGTGTGATTTGAATGGGACACTGGCTGTTGTTTCTTAGTGATATGCACCAGGTTCATTGTCCTAACAGCTGGCAGACCCATGAGGACAGAGCCCCGGGACACTTGCTCACTGGGGGCCAACCACCTGCCCCCTTGCCTGCTGGCTCTCTGCTGTGCCCTCGGCAAGCACCCAAGGCTGGCCCTGGCTGAGGCCGGCTCAGGGCAAGCTTCCCTAACAGAGCTTTACTGTTTCAAAGATGGAAATAATGAGCACCCTGGACACCAGTGCATGGCAAGGTGCAAGGGGTTCCCCAAAGCCAGGATCTTCAGGGAAGCTTTGCCTTTGTTCGGCAGGGAACAGAGTCAAGCAGCAAGGAGACCCCAGGGAGAGTACCTCAGAGCAAGGGGCCCCAAAGCTCGGCACCCCGCAAGGAAGGCACAGGCTGCAATGCTCTGCTGCCTTCAGCGCCACTTTTCCAAATCACAGGGTCACCGGAAGGCCTTGGCTCCCCTTCCTGGGTGCAGTCACCCTGGGAGGCCAGCCTGCCACAGCAACGCCTCCAGGAGCAAGCCGTCTTGGTTGTCACCACTGCTCTGTGGTGACCAAGGACTATGAGATCGGAAGCAAGATACAGGTGAGCTACAAACTTAAAGAATATTATAAGGTAGCTTTCGAAATAGTCTACGTACCTCGTATGAGCTCATAAATATTCATGTCCATAAGTTCACATATAAGTGCAAGAGAACCAGATTTTCTGTCACTGAAGAAGAAAGCAGGTTTTAAATTTTTTTTTGTCTTAATCAGAAAACATGATCAAATATTTAATTCACTGTAAACATTTCTGGTAAATATAAGGCACTCCCACATCAGCCAAAGATGGCAATATAATTATTAAAATAGTAGAGATTTTTATTTTCAACCAATATTTCTGATAAATTTAATTTTAAATAACCGTAAAGATTTATTTTAAGCAAAATTCTAAAAGCCATTTTTTAAAAAAAAGAGATATGTCTTGAAAATATAAAATTAACCCAGCAGAAAGAAGAAAGTCTGGGGAATTAGCTAAGCAAAGCAATAAAAGAAAAAGGAACTTATGCTCTATGACTGAACGTCTAGTTTTAATTAATTTTAAAGTAATTTAATGTATCTAATTATTTACATGTAATTGGGATATATTACAACTGGAGAGCCAAAAGCAAAAGCCACTCCCAGGCAGAAGAGTCACATTTCACTCATACTCCAGGCTTCAGGCCCAGCCAACAAGCTTCTCGGGATTCCATTCAACCCCTAAAGGGGAGCCTGTGTCACAGCAGGCCACCTGGCAGGGGTCTCAGGAGATTCTGGCCAGAAGTGCTCTGCACAGAGAGTGTGTGTGTGTGTGTGTGTACACAGTGTTGTGATTATTATGTGCAAACCGTGCTAAGAACACTGCAGCTATGTCAAGGGGCCACACAGCTATGTCAAGACAAGTCGTTTTGAATTTAAAACTGTTGCATCCTCTGATTAAAATCCACCGAGCTTTAACTGGCAGAGACTGGAGTTCCCAGGCCAACTTTATAGGCCAGGGTCCCTGCAGAGCTGTAGCAAGGCCAACAAGCACCTTCCCAGAGTGGCAAGGTCATGCTGGTGGGAGGAGGCCTCCTGAGCCCCTGCACACCAAGGGACAAGCCAGGCTCTATCTTTTTGATTGGCAGGTAAGCCTTATGAAAACTACTCTACAATTAGAACAAATGGAAATGCCTTGAAATGACATCAATTATTGTAAGAAAGACTGTAAGAGACTGTGCAGAGAGATCAGTTGGCAACAAGATGAGAACATGAAATAGCATCGCAGGGCTCGCCTGGGAGGTCATGACTCATGTTCAAGCCTTCAGAGTTCCAAACCAAGCTTTAGAAGCCAAATCTTGAATGCTGCGTGCTGCCACGATATGAGGTCACCTCTCTGAAGACACCTCCAAATGAGGGGTCAGATACGCAATTGTCCAAATAGAAATGCAACGTACGGTGAAATGAAAATTATTATTCTCTGAGCTACAAATTAAGTCTACCATGGTTTTCTTAAAAGGAGATTTAATCAATAACAAATTTTCAAATAGATAATTTTTTAAGCTCCAAATATACTTACAAAACTACTTCATGCAACGTAAGAATGTTTGGGTGTGGATTCAGACGCCTCAGAGCTTGTACCTCTCGTAGGTTGTTCACCTGCTCAATACTATTTGTAGGTAAAAATAGATAACTGATTTATAATTTAGGTTAACTTTAAAATTAGAGCTACCAAATCATATTCATTATCCATGTTTGAAAATTTTAAACTCGCAAATATTTCAAGCAAGTTAATCGGGTCAAACTGTTCTCATCAGAAACTAAAGTTAGCATATTCTTATATCATCTTATAAAAATTAAAGTTCTCATAGCTTAGGAAATACATGAAAAGTTTCCCCATCTATTATCCTGAAAGATTCTCTTGTAGTTTCTTTTACATATTAAGATTAAAAAAAAGATTAATATTAAAACTGGTGCACGCCTATCAACTCAGCAGCTAGGGAGACTAAGGCAGGAGGATCTCGAGTTCAAAGCTAGTCTCAGCTAAAAGAGTAAGGTGCTAAGCAACTCAGTGAGACCTGTCTCTAAATAAAATACAAAATAGGGCTGGGGAGGTGGCTCAGTAGTCAAGTCCCTGAGTTCAATGCCCAATACTTAAAAAAAAAAAAAGAAAAAAAGATTAAGTTTTCTGATTAAATTAATTGACAAATTTATTTAAAATTAAGGGTAATAATTAAACTACATTAATCAGTTTATAGGAAATGTACATACTATCTTAAAATATGCATTTCAAAATTCCAGAAGCAGACCCAGCCTCCACCTCATCTTCTTCTTTTTTTTTTTTTTAATATTTTTTAGTTGTAGATGGACACAATATCTTTATTTTATTTTTATGTGGTGCTGAGAATTGAACCCAGTGCCTCTCACATGCCAGGCAAGCGCTCTACCACTGAGCCACAGCCCAGCCCCTCCCTCCACCTCATATTTGATGAAGTCTGTCTTTTCTGCCATCTCCTCTACCTGGGGGGAACAGGTGTAGTCCTTGCAGGTGTCTCGCTGTGGGGTCGTCTTTGATTGCTCAGCCTGACACTGTTTCCATATCCAAATCACACCACTGTAAGTGCTAGGCCGTGACCAGCTGTCCCTGCTTTCCAGACACCCTTCCAGGGACGCACCTCCCATGGTGGGAGGGGATTCACACCCATCCAGTGACTTCATGCTCAAGGGACTTCCATCTCAGAGGCTCCGAAGGAACCAATTGTGGGGATATTCTTCTTTCCTACAATTGCTCAGCATCTTGTTTGGTTATTCAGGGAATAGTTATATCCAACAGCACATTACTATAGTTTAATTTTTTTTTTAATTCTGTTCTTTTTTTTTTTTTTGGTGGTGCTGGGGATTAAACCCAGGGTGTTGTAAATGCAAGGCAAGCACTCTACCAACTGAGCTATATCCCCAGCCCGTTCTTAAATAAAAGGGTTTGTTGAGCCCCTACAGACCTATACAGAAAAAGGATAAGGTCCTGCTACCTGGATAAGGTCCACACTACCAGCAGCAGGGCTAGGTCACAGCTGGGAAAAGTTCTGATTATAGTTGGGTTTTTCTGATTGTGTTTTGTTTTTCATTTTAGTGCCTGGAACTGAACCCAGGGGTGCTTAAACACTGAACCACATCTCTGACACTTTTTTTTTTTAATTTTTATTTTTTGTAGTTGTGTTTGGGGTGTGTGTGTGTGTGTGTGTGTGTGTGTGTGGTGCTGGGGATTAACCTCAGGGCCTTGTGCATACAAGGCAAGCACTCTACCAACTGAACTAAGATCCCCAGCCCTTTTTTTGTAGTTGTAAATGGACAGGATGACTTTATTTGTTTCATTTTTATGTGGTGCTAAGGATCGAACCCAGTGCCTCACACATGCCAGGCAAGTGCTCTGCCCCTGAGCCCTAGCCCTAGCCCCTCCAGCGCTTTTTTTTAAACTTTGAAACAGCACCTTGTTAAGTTGTTGAGGCTGGTCTTGTGATCTTCCTGCCTCAGCCTCCCAAGTGGCTGGGATCACAGGCGTGTGTGACCACGTCCAGAATTTATTATATAGTTTTTAAATCAATGTGGCTCTTAAATCAGTTGCTCTCAAGCTAGCAACCACATGGGAGCCTGATACATAGGAACAGCCTGAAGAGAGACTAGTCTGAGTCTAAGAATATCTGTGACTAAGAGCTTTGGGCCTCTTCTTCATTACCTTCCCCTATTTCCTCCCTCACAGCCAGGACTGTAGTCAAAACACTAGCAACGTGCACCCAGGGCAAGACATAGTCCATAGTGCTGGAGCCAGTCCTGTGGGCACTGGCGCTCGGAGGTCTGCAGTGAGCCTGCCAGCATGCAGCTGGCAGTTCAACAGCTGAAACACCAGCATGGCCCTGGTGACGGTGACAGGGATTCTAGATGCACATACGGTAAGTAACAGTTTCAACACACATGAAGTAACTGACAGGTAAAGAAAGCTGGAGACGGAACACCCTCTCATATATTTGATACAATGATCTTTAAAAAAAAAACAACAGAAACAGTAACTATACGGAAGCTCCTAAGAGCACTACTGACCACCTCCACCCGACATCATTCAAGGATGCACAGGGCACTCACCCAGACAGGAATGCGCTGCATCAGAGCCAAGTCTTGATAAACTCCAAGACTGAAAATGGACAGAACATGCTGGCTGGCCACGATGGAATTAAATTAGAAATCAGCCATCGTAAACTATCTAGAAAAGCCCCGAGTATTTGGGAATGAAACAACAGATTTCTAAAAATCCATGGGTAAGGAAGAAATCTCACGTGAAATTAGCATATCAAAAAGTAAAGCACAGCACATTGAAGTTTTGAGGACACTTAGAAGGATATTTGTGACTTTACATGTTTTATTATGAAGTGTTTACCTTAAGAAGGCAGAATAAATTAGGTGCAGTGACACACGCCTGTAATCCCAGCAGCTCAGGAGGCTGAGGCATGAAGATCACAAGTTCAAGGCCAGCCTCAGCAACTTAGTGAGGCCCTAAGCAACTTATCAAGATCCTATCTCAAAATAAATAAAAAGGGCTGGGGATGAGGCTCAGTAGTTAAGCATCCCTGGGTTCAATCCCCAATATCAAAAAAAAAAAAAAAAAGAAAGAAATGAATTCTTCCATAAACTGCTACAGATTTGACATAATCCCATTCAAAAATCTCTGTAGTTTTTATTTTGTATGGAATTGACAAGCTGGTTCTAAAATATTTACAGAAATACAAAGGACTCAAAGTAGGCAAAACGTTTCCAAAAAGAAAAACTAAGCTGGAAGATAAATATTACCCAACTTCAAAACATACTGTTAAACTACATGAACCAAAACAGAAGGGGGAGCTGGGGTTGCAGTGGTAAAGCACCTGCCT